AATTTAGTTTCAGAAAGGATTTGGGGATTATTAAATTGTATCCATTATTTTACAAATAATGAAATTGAGGTGATTAAGGATAATTTAATTGATTCATTCATAAAATCTTTTATTTATTTGACAAATACTTATTGAACTTCTAGTAGGAGGCACAGATTTTTCTAGGCATTGAGAATAAAGCAGTAAATAAGCCCCTGCCCTTAAAAAGCTTACATTCTATTTATTTATTCATTCATTCATTCATTCTTCTCAGAGCATGAATAGAATAAGATATAGGTCAGGAAGAATTGAATTCCATTTCCAAATGTAATTCATTTTAATTGGCATTAGAAATTCTATTAAATATTTCTGATAATGTTGATCTTCTGCTAGAATTTCATGCAAAAACCAGTAAGCTTATAAGTGATAGCAGATGCATCCCCAATAATGACCTATTTTTTCAATAATAACAAAATTACAATGATGATCAAGTTTTAAACAAATTGTGATTTGACTGAAATGCATAGCTATACAATTTTATATAAAATGGTCCCACAAGAACCAAATTTCAGAGATTCACAGCTCATATGAAAAGGAAATACAGATCTTAACTTTTCAATGGAAAACAAAAGAAGCCAAGGGAAAAAAAAATCTCCCAAATAATGTCAAAATATTGATGTTCATAATTAAGAAAAAATAGATGTTTGCTGAAACCTGTTTGTCCTTTGAGGACAGCAGTTCATTTTTCTTCAGAGGAAATGAAAGCAAGTATAGTGTGTACTGATGGTCATGTGAAAATGAGATGAGGAATAGTAAAAATGTGTTATTTCTCAGTGAGGTGTCAAGTGGAGGAAGGAGAAAAATCTCATTCATTCTTCCTCAGATGGGATATGTGCCTATAATTCTGAATTCATTATGTTTCAATGATTCTTTTTTAGATCTACAGTTTTCAAGAAAAAATTCACTACTATGTTTCTAAATTGTAATTCTTTCTACTGTGATTGTTGTTGTTGTTGTTTGCCGTCGAGTCGGCCCCGACTCATAGCGACCCCTCCTCTGGTTTCTGAGGCAGTATCACTACGGAAGTAGGATTGCCCAACCTTCCTTCCAAGGAGTGGCTGGTGGGTTTGAACCGCCAGCTTTCTGGTGAGCAGTCAAGTGCCTTAGGCACTATGCTACCAGAGCTCCTCTACTGTGATTAGGATTATGTAAAACTCAAGAGTTATATCAATACAAAAATTATAGCTCAACTAAATTAATTGGTAGTCATTTGCTTTGTGTGTGTACACAAAATCTATGAAGTCCCCCTACTCATTTTAAGGCCTTGTTATAGACTCAAAATGCCTTATTCTCAGAGGAAAATCATGATGTATTTTCACTTAACCATCTTTCTTATTAGCCAAATAACTTCAGTGAAATTCTTTGCCATGTATATATATTCATTGTCTTCACATTTAACAAACTGAAGAACACACATATGAATTTAGAAGAATTTAAACAAATTTTTAGAATTTATAGTCCTCAATTAAAATTGTGTATAAATGAAATTGTATGAGCTTAGTGACTGTGAGTTGGGATCCTTGAACCTCAAAAACATTTAAATATGGGTCGGGAATTAAAAACTGACCAAAATTTAACCCAAATCCAATTTAAAAACTATTATATACAGTATTTTCAAATCACAGTCTATCAAAAAATAACATGGGACCAATATAGTATTTTTCATTTCCTTTAAGCATATTATTACACTATATTTTGCACTAAGATTAATTTAATATTAAATTAATAGGGTGTGGAAGTAGATTGCCCAACCTTCCTTCCGAGGAGTGGCTGGTGGATTTGAACCGCCAGCCTTCTGGTTAGCAGTCAAGTGCCTTAGCCACTATGCTACCAGAGCTCCCAATGTTGAAGTATATAATGGCTCAAATAAACTATGCCTAAGAGTGGCGTAGTGCCTAAACCACTTGACTGCTAACCAGAAGGCTGGCAGTTCAAACCCACCAGCCACTCCTTGGAAGAATGCTTGGGTAATCTACTTCCCTAGTGATACTGCCTCGGGAACCCAAGGCGGGGGTCAGTATGAGTCGGCTCCGACTTGACCACAGTGAGTTTGTTTCTTTGTTAAGAGTAAATTAACTAGTCAATAACAGTTTGAGTCTTCATGTATTTTCCTAAAATATGGTATTGGCCAACTTGTTTGGCAATTCCCAACTGCTGTTTCTGCTACTGATGCTATTATAAAGAGATGGTGATGCTTGATATCTACTGGCATTTAAAGGAACCAGTAGGATAATATCATATTTGTATATATGATTCATAACTCCCTTCATGTAGAATGACTTTAATTTAGATTACCTGAATTTCTTGCCCTCTTCGCCTATGTGAAGGAAACTAAAAATATACACACACTGGAAGTATGTTTCTATTCCTGTAATCTTAGCATCTGGGGAGTGCTGACTAACATTCAAAGTATCTTCTGTCCTGCTACCAATACCCTGACATCTCATTAAGCAGAGTAAAAGAATCACCTGTTGAAAGTACTTTTATTTGGAGAGCTCTGGTGGCCTAGTGCCTAAGGCATTTGACCTAAAATATAGAATACACTTTATAAGAAAATATACTTTAAAGAACAATAAGAAGCAGGGAGGCTAATGAACATAATTAAAGATTATGTAAATAATCCTGAATCCATTTCATAGGTGTCTGTTAATATGGGCAGTTTATTCTCAGATTAAAATATTTTACTTCTAACTGTTGCACAGATTTTTATAGGGAAAATGTAAATCTTGTTTATCTTTATAACACACCACCTAGTAGTGTTTCTAGAGGCAACCACTAAATATATATGTTCATATGTTATGTTGAATACCTAGTTTGAATAGTTTATATTTTCCTTGAAGGGGAAAAAAAAGTATCCATGCAATTGTTTTAGACTAATTTTTCCCTAGTTTTGGTTCTAGAAGGAAAGTCTAAAAGATATAGGGATCTAACTACTTGTGTTTCGGAAAAGGCAAGCACCTTTTCTATAGCTCATATACTGTGTTTTTCTTAAGATGATACAGTTTTCTATTTTAGAAATTGTAGACAGTGGTATTTGTTTCCCAACCTTTATACATTTTCTGTATTTCCAGTATCTTCAAGATCTAGGAAACTATTTGTTGCACTATCACAAAAGCAGAAGAATCAGCTTATCCACAGAACAGTTTTATCCACAGTTAAATGTCTGAATATAGGCTTTTAAACCTACATCCTCTTATTTCTTCTACTATACTCCTTCTCTTGAGTCTTTAGCATTATGAAATGTCATAAAGACATTTCAGGGGGGGCTTATCTAATTTCATCACTATTTTGAGTGTTTATTTCATGCTTAGGAACAACACACATGATAGATTTATACATGTACACAGTGTTCACCCAGCCCCTTCTAGTAAGAGTTGAATTTCATACACTCCTAAAATATATCACCTACTAAGCAAATGGAAGACTCTCAGTTGTGTATATACATTCACAAAATATCTAAGTTTCAAGCAAGGTGACAGCAGCACTGATGTTTCCTTCTGCTCCATTGTCCAAGCAACATCTCAGGCTCTGCCAAGTGCAGACAGAAGACCCTCTTGGCTCCTGTTGCCAAGATCAGAGAATTTGAAAACCCTGCATAGATTCAATTTAAACAATGCTATATAAAAGCTAAAGTAAATCCATTCTCACCCCTCCCCTCCCCCTTTGTCTTCGAGTGAGGTAGGAGAGTATTCACTAAGTGTGCCATTATTTTCTCCTTATCAGAAAGCCTTGCTCCTGACAGCCCTGCTTCAGCTCTGACTTGTCGCCCCGGCTACCTTCAGGAGACACGCCAAGAGACCAGACCGACAAGGAATGGCAAGGGAAAGAACTAAGTTAGCATGTTTAAAGGCTGCCAATGCGATGGCGAAAATTCCAAGTCTAGTGTTCCTTTGCCTTCCAAAGCAACAAGTGACCCTCAAAGCGGCTCTTGAAACCACGCGTCCCATAGCTCCGGGAGTAGTCTCGCCTGTGTGACTAGCACCTCAGGCCAATCATTGCGCAGGTGGTTAAAACCCTTTCTCCCTCCCGGGACCAAAACAGTGGCTCTGATAAAGCTTGGTTCTGAGGCAGAGTTCCCTCCTCCCTCTTTAGCCTTGAGAAAAAGCTTCCACCTGAGACTTCTTTCCACCTCTAATATTTGATTGTCGATGTATTCTTCCATCCCACACCATTTCCGTCCAAGTTTTTTTAAAGAGTAGACACGATGCCTGATGCCTGTGTGTTAGGGTGTGCATTAGAGCGTGAGTGTGGAAAGAATTTAGAACTGTTTCCTTTCTTCCATTTAATCAATATGTGTCCTGAGCCTGAGCCTGACCTGAGTTGGCCCCTCAAACATGGGATCAATAATCCCTGCAGTCATGAAGCCTTACAAAATCATGTAAATTAAAGGGTTTTGGAAACTGTTTAGCGCTCTACAGGTTGCAATCTCTGGTTACAAGCACGAGGATCTGTTCCTCTCTCCGAGGCCAAGTTGCCCCACCTGAAATGTTCTGTGCGTTCAAGCACGAATTCTCTGGCCACATCCCTTCACCTAATCGGCTCTACCCACGGGACAAACAGGGCACCCGAGTCCCCGCCGGCGAGCCGCCCCCGCAGGCAGCCGCGCCCAAGTGGTCCAGGGGCCGCTACCCGCGCTTGCCTCTCCTCTCCAGGAGGGAGACCCAGCGAGGGTTAGCACGGAAAGAGGGTTCAGGAGCCAGGGAGTGAAAGACAGCGCCCGCAGGCAAGAAGCCGGCAGAGATGTGGAGGAAGCCCTGCAGGTTGAGAAAAGGGGAGAGGACCCAAAAACTTCCCACGATCGAAGTCGCAAGAAGTGAACAGAAGGAAGGAGCGAGGTGGCAAGACGCAGAGCCTGAAAGATGCCTCCAGCGCAACGCGGGATGCGCAGGAAGAGAGTTTAGAGACGAGCATACGGGGTCTCGGCGGAGGGCAAGGACACGCAGAGAGCCCTACCCCATTACCTGTACTGCCTCCGCCCTGGCTTCCCCTGTCCGGGGGGAAGATGCCCGAGCACTTCTCCCACTCCACCTGGCCCGCGAAACACAGCTCGGTGACGATGTGCAGCGCTTTCTGGCACAGGCTGCTCACTCCATCCTCCTTGTGGAAACTCATCGTGTGGGTTTTCTTTTGGTTTCCTCTTCCAAGTTAGTTGTCCTTTCCCTTGCCTCTTACCTCTTGGCTGGCCCCTCTTGTGCCCTAAGCCATAACCCGCCTGTGAGGACTCTGGCTGGAGAGCCCGCTGGTAAGAACTAGCAACTCTTAGGAACCCCAAGTGGGCCCCATGGCGAGAGAGGAGAACGCGGGTGACAGCGGTGAAGCAAAGGCGCGAGCCCGCGCGAGGCGGCTGCAGCGAGGTTTGCACCAATTCTCCCCCTGCACGAGGAGAGCTGGAGGGAGAGACCCGGCATGGAGTGCGGAGGTGAGGTGGGGCAGACGTAGAAAGCCAAAGCCCTGGACTCAGGAGAACGCCCTCCTCCTTTTCCTAGCGTGTTTGTGCTTCTGGCGGGTGCCTGGCGGGTGCTCATCCAATCACAGCCTGGCGTGGGCCTGGGACAATCAGGCGCAGAGCCCGCAGGCCCTGCTGCTCACGAGTCACATGGGAAGGGGTCGATGCAGGAGGAGCGTTGGCTGCCCCTCTTGGTGCTGTGGTGGGCCCTCCTGTTGAAGCTAAGGTTGCTCATCTTTGCAGACAGTGGGGCAAAGAAGCATTCTTCGTTTTTTTTTTCTGTGCTTCTCTCAGCCTCATCCTCCTCTCATCTATTCCCCTTGTCTCTCCTTCAACTTACCTATCCAGTTCCTTTGTTCTGTAAGTCATTCCATGCCATCCCTATCCGAAGATAAAAAGAAACAGTAAGTTAAAAAAAAAAAAAAAAGAAGAAGAAGAAGAAGAAGAACAATCAAACTAAATCATCTATGGAAAAAAGAAAACTCTCTGGAGAGCATGTTTAATATGATTTCTAACGAGGATGACATAGGAACAGACAATATTTTACTTGGGAGGTCTTTATTAATAGTAGGGAAATTCACCATAAGGTATATTTCCTGTGTTGCTAGTTCAATTTTTCTTTATGCACAAATGCTGTGAATAGGCAAATACATATATTGCCTTTGATATTTTAAATCCCTTTTATATAGATCACACACACAAACACACAAAAAACCCCTGTTTTTATTAATATTTAGTTAGTATTCTTTTGATTAATCAATCACTGGCAATTGAAAATGTACAACTTGACTCCCTTTATCAGTTTTGGTAAAGATATAAACACTGAAAAAAAGATAAGGAATTGGTGTTAAAAAGGAAGGGAATAAAGTTTCAGTCTATCACATAGCACTGCTTAACCTTGAAGAATTTGTTTTCAGGTCTTTATCTCGGTCTGTAAAATGAGAGGCTTGGACTGGAGTATCTTGAGCTCACCTCTTCTTATAATTCTCAAATGCAAATAGGTGCAAATCACTAATGGAACTAAAACTACAAAATGAAATGATAAACATGTCCCACAAGGGTACAGTAAGTGCATCTACATTGTTTTTTAAATTGTTTTAGGAAGAAGTTGATCAGATATTATGACTTAAGGGTTGATTTAACAGTCATAGATGGGTATTTTCTTTTTTTGAAGTGGAATATACCGAACTTCTGTTTAAATTATACCTCAACATAGAGAAAACAAAGATCTTCACAACTGAACCAATAAGCAACATCATGACAAACAAAAGATTGACGTTTTCAAGGATTTTATTTTACTTGGACTCTCAATCAACGTCCATGGAAAGCACATCAAGAAGTCAAACAACATGTTGCATTGGGAAATCTGTTGCAAAAGACGTCTTTAAAACTATGAAGCAAAGATGTCATTTTGAAGACTAAAGTCAGCCTGACCCAAGCCATGGTATTTTCAGTTACCTCATCTGAATGTGAAAGCTGGAAAATGAATAAGGAAGAACAAAGTAGAATTGATGCATCTGAATTATGGTAGTCACTGAATATGAGTTGCCAGAATGAACAAATCTGTCTTTGAAGAAATACAGCCAGAATGCTCCTTAGAAGTGAGGATGGTGAAACTTCACCTCATGTGCTTTGGACATGATATCAGGAGGGACCAGTCCCTGGAGGAGGTAAAGTAGAGGGTGAGCGAAAAAGATGGATTGACACAGTGGCTGCAGCAATGGGATGAGCAGGGATTGTGAGGATGATGCAGGACCAGGCAGTGTTTTGTTCTGTTGCTATGAGTTGTCACCAATTCAATGCAACTAACAATAGCAGTAGAATTAGAATTATTTTAAACTGAGAAACAGTTTCCGGCGCATTATTTCCTTTGTACTGGACACTATGATAAAGCCTACTATAAATATTAGACAACCAGTCTGGTAAGTAGGCATTCATTAGTTGAATCATTAACTTTATTCATAGGACAGTTGGTTTAAAAAGGACTATTTTTACTAAGTAACACACTTTAATAAGGCCTTCTCTGCTTTCCTTTGCCCTCTAGCCCACCACAATCTATTGGGCAGAGAGATTATTATAACCAACCTGCAATGCAATGCTGTACTTTCATATTTACTATATGAACAAACTGCTATGTGGGAGGACAAAATGTGTAATTTATCTTTATACTACTTGGAGACTCTAATTGCTTAAGTGGAATAATGCAGATCTCTCTAATGACCTTCTTATGTTAGATTTTAGTGCTAAATATTATTAAGTAAACAAATTCTGAAAATAACTTTCTTGGTATTCGTTTATGCGGTTCTGGCTTGTTGATACTATTATTGCTGTGATTCCAAAACAAATAAATTTAATTCCACTTGGATATTCATTTTTCTGACTTCATTCTTGTGAATATTTTTTTCTTTCATCTGAAATTAATAGCAAAAGGGTTTATTTTTTTTGTTGTTGTTATTTTCTTCTTTGTTCTTTATACTATCTCACAGCTCTTTAGGTGAATCAAACCAGTTTTTCTTGTCGCTTATTAACACCCTTAGTAAGAAGGGTTTTTTTGGGAAAAGTAGAACTGCATTCCAGGTCATTTTTTCCAATGCTGAAGGATGAAAACAAGGATAAGAATTTCAATTCACAGTCTTTATTATTTATTTATTTTCCCAATTCCTTCAACTACAAACAAGTAAAAAAGTAAACCAAAGAAAACAGATTTGCATTTATTCCCACACCTTCACTGTGAAGGAAGACTAAAACAGTGAATAGAGGGGAGAAATTAGACATTTATGGAGCATCGTTTGATGTGCCAAGTGCTGTAGTAGGCATTCATAGTAAAAAAAAAATACCGGCTGTAAGGGTCTCTGTGGCAACTTCCTTCTGAATGATCTCTGCATTAAGTAGAGGAGGGATTGATTTAGAGATGAGGAGCCTAAGAGCATTCTTTTGTGATCTAAGAGAGCTTCTTGAGTGGTAATTTTGAATGCTTAACACTGATTTCCCTGCTTGCTCAGTGCTCATCCAGTTTCTTCTTCTTGGCTTCCCAAGCCCCTTTCAAAACATGGAGTAGGAGGAGATATCTTCTTAAGTAGAGAACTCCCTAAGGGAGGGGGATCTTGGGAATCATTCCAAATTCTAAAATTTAAATATTAATTGAAGCCTAAGAGAGGAACTAAGCAGGGTGGAAATGAGGAAATCTTAGAGTTGAGATCTGTCTAAATAAAGATTATACTGTATTACATTTTAACTTACTTAAAGTTTTACTACCTTCCTTTTCTGTGTTCTGAAGGCATCTCAAACTCAAAACAGCCCCATTCAAACTTTTCTTACAGGTTTAGTCTTCCTTTGGTATTTCTACCCACCCCTACCCCCCATTTCCTTATTTAGTTAATTGTGATTTGGGTGAAAGTTTACAGAGCAAATTGGTTTTCCATTCAACAGTTCGTACACAATTTGTTTTGTGACATTGATTGCAGTCCTCACAATGTAACAACACTTTTCCCACTTCTTCTCTGTGTTTATCATTTCCCTTCCTTCTCCTTCTCTACCCCTTCCTAACTTCTGAGCTTTATCCTTGGGCAAATGCTGCCCTTTTGATCACGGTGTTATAATGAGTGCATACGTTCTTGGTATTACTTTTTCAACTTATAGACTTATCTTTGTCAGAAAGTTGAATCATGGAGGTTGAGTTCAGTTCCTGGCTTGAAGGGTGTTTAAGGGCCATAGTCTCAGGGCCTGTAAGCTGGTATATTTTTATGATTTTGAGTTTTGTTCCACATTTTTCTTCCATGAAATCAGCTGGAGGGCAGTGGGTTTGATTTGGTTTTGAGTTTCTATCCAAGACTTCCTATTGGGATCCCTTTCATAGTGATCAGCAGTGGTAGCCAAGTACCATCTACTTCTGGTCTCAAGGTTGTGGAGGCTGAGGTTCACACGGTCCATTGGTCTATAGGACTAATTGTTTCCTTGCTTCTCTGATTCCCTTTAGTTTTTTTTTGCTCTGGAAGGGGAGAGACCAGTAATTGCACCTTAGATGGCCATTCCCAAGCTTTTAAGACCCCAGTCATTACTCACAAAAGTGGGATGTAGAACATTGTCTTTGGGGACCATATTATGTCAGTTGACCTTAGTGTTCCCCAGGACTATGGCCCTGGGCTTCCGTGCTCAGTGACTCATTCCCTCAAGGTGTTTGGGTATGACTAAGTTTTCCTAACTTTGCCCCCTGTATGCACTATTTGTGGATGTATTTGCAGCACATATAAATACATATTAAGGCATTTGGCTGCTAACCAGAAGGTTACCGGGTCAAACCCACTAGCAGCTCTGTGGAAGGAACACGAGGCAATCCCTTTCATAAAGATTTACAGTCTTGGAAACCCAATGGGGGGGTCACTGTGAATCAGTGTTGACTCAATGGCTGTGTGTTATAAATACAGAGGTAAAGATATCCTTTGTTAAATTTATATATTTGTGGGTATGATCCCATTTGCCTTACACCCCTGTTCAGCTTGAGTGTCTATCTGTGTGTCTACTCATAGATTATTGTTATTACTGTTATTGCAGGAATGTGAAAAATGGCATTCCCACTCATCCCAACCGGCAATGATGATAAATAGATTTCCGGTTTGCCTAGATAGGTATCACTTTGGAGGAGTCAAGTTTTATTCTGATTCCAGATCCTTTTAGTAACACCAGGGATTCATCACTCTGAAAGGTTTTGTGTCTTTTCTTTTCTCTTTGTGTTCACTTGGTTCATTCATCCTAATTGGCACTCAGAAATTCTTCCAAACTAAGACTCAG